CAGGAAAGAATGTCCAATGGAAGAAAGACAGTCTCTTCAACAAATGGTGTTGGGAAAATTGGACAGCCACATGCAGAAGAATGAAACTGGACCATTTCCTTACACCACACACAAAAATAGACTCCAAATGGTTGAAAGACCTAAACGTGAGACAGGAGTCCACCAAAATCCTAAAGTAGAACACAGGCAGCAACCTCTTCAACCTCAGCCGCAGCAACTTCTTCCTAGAAACATCGCCAAAGGCAAAGGAAGCAAGGGCAAAAATGAACTATTGGCATTTCATCAAGATCAAAAGCTTTTGCACAGCAAAGGAAACAGTCCACAAAACCAAAAGACAACCGACAGAATGGGAGAAAATATTTGCAAATGACATATCAGATAAAGGGCTACTCTCCAAAATCTATAAAGAACTTATCAAACTCAACACCCAAAGAACAAATAATCCAATCATGAAATGGGCAGAAGACATGAACAGACATTTTTCCAAAGAAGACATTCAAATGGCCAATAGACACACGAAAAAGTGCTCAACATTGTTCGGCATCAGGGAAATCCAAATCAAAACCTGAATGAGATACCACCTCACACCAATCAGAATGGCTAAAATTAACAAGTCAGGAAATGACAGATGTTGGTGGGGATGCAGAGAAAGGGGAACCCTCCTACACTGTTGGTGGGAATGCAAGCTGGTGCAACCCCTCTGGAAAACAGTATGGAGGTTCCTCAAACAGTTGAAAATAGAGCTATCATACGATCCAGCAATTGCACTACTGGGTATTTACCCCAAAGATAAAAATGTAGGGATCCGAAGGGGTACGTGGACCCCAATGTTTATAGCAGCAATGTCCACAATAGCCAAATTGTGGAACGAGCCAAGATGTCCATCGACAGATGAATGGATAAAGAAGAAGTGGTATATATACACAATGGAATATTATGCAGCCATCAAAAGGAATGAGATCTTGCCATTTGCAATGAGGTGGATGGAACTGGAGGGTGTTATGCTGAGTGAAATAAGTCAATTAGAGAAAGACACGTATCATATGACCTCACTGATATGAGGAATTCTTAATCTCAGGAAACAAACTGAGTGTTGCTGGAGTGGTGGGGGGTGGGAGGGATGGGGTGGCTGGGTGATAGACATTGGGGAGGGTATATGCTATGGTGAGCACTGTGAATTGTGCAAGACTGTTGAATCACAGATTTGTACTTCTGAAACAAATAATGCAATATATGTTAAGAAAAAAAAAGAACAGGATAGCAGGAGGGGAGTAAGTAGGAGGGGAAGACAATGGACTCTGAAAAACAAACTAAGGGTTCTAGAGGGGAGGGGGGTGGGGGGATGGTTAGCCTGGTGATGGGTATTAAAGAGGGCACGTTCTGCATGGAGCACTGGGTGTTATGCACAAAATGAATCATGGAACACTACTTCAAAAACTAATGATGTAATGTATGGTGATTAACATAACAATAAAAATGTTTTTAAAAAAGTGCAGGGTGTGGAGTCCCAAGGCTGAGAACCATGTAAAAAAAAAAAAAAAAAAAGACAGAAGCCTGAGGGTTCACACAAAAGAGATGTGAGCAAGTGTAGGAGACAAGAGACCAGAAACGGCATTGTAGTTCACAAGCCTCCAGATACCAGGCTTTCTTAGAGGTAATAGTAAGCTTTATTTATGACTGATTAACAACTGATTAATTTATAAAAGGCTTCCCTTCCAAGGAGAGCACCAGAATGCTTTATTTCCTAATTGGATGGTGACTTTCCCCATAAATAAAAGAGAATCACTGCTTCTTGTTGGGGAGACAGTTTGACATGGCAGGTTTGTTCTTGTCTCTGTCCTGATTTACTGTATGACCTTGGGCCAGTCATTTATCTTCCCCCAAACCAGTTTTACTAATTATAAAATGGAAATAAAAATACTTGCTGCCTTCACAGAGGATTAATGAGACAAGGTGAATGTCTCAGCTCCCAGGGGGTAAAAGGCTGTAGATAAGTAAGCAGAGAACTGTTAAGTAGAAGTGCAGGACTTTCCACACCACTTGGGAAAGAAAAAAATCCACAACAATAAAACCCTGGAGCTGTAAGTTTCCTAGTCTAAAAAAAAGGAGGCATGCCTCTCTTACAAATGGTCCAATTTTCCCTCCAGCATGCACTGGAGCCTGGGAAGGTCAGCCACCAGGAGACAGGCGCTGAATTCATCCCTCCAGAGTTCTAACCCTTGCTCCATCGTGAACAGTGACATCCTGGGGGGAAAATTAGTGTTCTGCTTCCTCAATTTCTTCTTCTGTAAGATACTGGTTATTATACTATTTAGAGACATGGAGACACAGGTATAGATGCCTGACATATAGTGAGTTCCAAATAAATACTTCTGTCTTCAGCAGCATAATTCAAACTGCTGGAATATTTTCCTCCTAAAAATCAAAGGTTCTGATGAAAGACTGTTGGGGAATAAAGGTAGACGTGATGTAACATCTCTGATTTAAAAGGGGCGCAGGGAACTAATATAAAGCTTTGATTCAGCTCACTTTCTTTTTTTTTCTTTTTTTTTTTTTTTAGATTTTATTTATTTGACAGAGAGAGGCACAGTGAGAGAGGGAACACAAGCAGGGAGAGCGGGAGAGGGAGAAGCAGGCTTCCCGCTGAGCAGGGAGCCCCACGTGGGGCTCGATCCCAGGACTCTGGGATCATGACCTGAGCTGAAGGCAGACGCTTAACGACTGAGCCACCCAGGCGCCCCCAGCTCACTTTCTTAAGCTGAATAAAATGTGCTTGGACAACGCCTTAAAATTCGCCTGCGCGACCGCAAGGGGGCACTGTGAGTCTGCTTTGGCGTGGGAGAGGCGCCCGCAGAGCGGAGCGGAAGGGGCTGGACGCTTCTAGCATCCCAGCGCCCAGGAGAAACGCATCCCGTAGCTCGGGCTCCGTAAGGAGTGGCCTTGATGACCCAGCGGGGGCGGAGGACGGAGGGGGTCTACAGGTAGCCCGACAGCTATACGCGCTCGTCCCGCTCCCACTCCGCAACAGGTTCCTTCCTGGCAGGTTCTTCCTGGCGGCTCTCTGTTCTTAATGTGGGATCCGCTAGTGCCTGAGCTTGGGAGCCCAGACACCCTTCCTCCGCCACCCCCCGAACTGTAGGGAACATTTGGGGTGTACCTGCGTCGGGTGTTTTGCTAGGCAAAAGGGTCAAAGGTGTCTGTCGTTTGGTTCTTTAAGGGGTCTGTGACCCTAAAGGGGTTAAGCTCTTCTGATTTAGGAAAAGAGGACCGCCTCTCCCTAAAACCAAAAAAAAAAAAAAAAAAAAAAAAGCCAAATGCGCTGTTCTGGAAACGACTCTGAAATCACCAGTTGTCTGTCGCCAAGGTCCGGGCCAGCGGATGGCACTCCCCACCAGGACTCCTTCAGGAACAGCGCCCAGTTTAGGTCCTGAAATACCTCAGGTGCGAAGTTGAATCGCCCTTCTGCGAAAAGGGAGAAGACGGTGAACCTGCCCCACCGGGTACCTGGACCAAAATTCTCTTGGCCCCAAGAAGAGGTCAGATGATTAGGGAAATTTAGGCCATGTACTCGATCTGTCCCACCTGCCGCTCGGGTCCCCACCCCCAAGCGTTTGCCCAGCCAGGCACCGGCAAGACGGAGAAACTCGACTGATACTGTTCCCTAGAGAGAAAGTGCCGCGGGCGGAGATGTCCGAGCGTCTCCTCTAAAGCGAGCTGGGTGGTGGCGTAGCCATGTTCCCGCGATCCCGGGCGGGAGGAGTGAGCTCTGCTTCCCAGGCTCCGGGACGGAGCGCCTGGAAGCGACCCTGGGGACAGCTGCCCGGCGAGCTCGGGCAGAATTCACGGTAGGCGGACCGGAGTGGAAGCACAGTGGAGACTAGGGTAAAAGAACCCGGCAGATAGTAGGGTGGGGGGCCGGGTGGAACGCGCCAGGCGAGGGGAAAATGTGACCCATCTCAAACTTTCGCAGACTCTGGGGCCCTAGGAAGGGAGAGGCAGGCAGAAGCACCAGCTTCTTCCACCGTCCGGCGCGCCCAGCTGCAGCGAGAAGGGGCGGCAACGCAGCGCCGGCTGGACGCGGGCGGCCCCCTGGTCGCACCCACCCGCCAGGCTAAAGTGCCACCGCGCGGGGCTCTGGGCCGGCGTCCACAGAAGCCAGACCGCTCCGTCCCGCGCTTCGGCTCCGAGGAAGGGGCTGTAACTCGGTTTGGGCCAGGAGGAGGGAAACTTGGCCTCGCAGCCTCGCCTGACCAGGTCGGGCGGGGGGACGTGCCCTTGGGCGGCGAGCGAGCCCGCGGGCTGAAGTCGGGGAGGCTCGGGAAGAAGTGAGCGCAGAGATGTCCACGAGCTAGAGAAATCAGATTAAAAAGAAATGTACAAAGAGATCCAAGGCCACCGCGCGAGCCCGGCAGCTTAGAAGCCACCCCTTGCGCACCAGGAGGACGGCAGACACTAGCACTCGCGAAGACGAGGCGCTCCTGGGCCGCCGCGGGTCTGCGCGGAAGAGCCGCCTCCCCAGCGTCGGGCGCGTATTCAGACGCCGGCGGCGGCCAGAAGCCGAGATGCGGCGCGCGGCTCCCGGCCGGTCCCGGCCCAGCAAACTCCGGGCGGGCCCCGCGCGCCGCTGACCCCGCGCGAGTCCGAGGGCTGTGCCGGCCCCGCCCGCCTCCGCCCCCTCCTGCGCCCGCTGCGCGCCCCTCCCCGCGGCGGCGGTGGCGGCGGCGGCGAATCCAGGGGCGGCGCGGAGCGGCTGGCCCAGCCGCCAGTGCCTGCGAGCTCCAGGCTGCTTGGGGAATTCACTTTGCCGCTTCTCCGCTTCTCCCTCCTAGGGCTTTTCCTGGTGGCTCCCTGGCTCCGGCCCTCTCCTTTCCTCTATACGGAAAACTTCGCTGCTATTTCTCTTTCCCCTTGGAGGAGAGGATTAAAAGTTCCCAGAACTGGTGCCGCCCGTGCCGCTCGGGCGCCGGGACTGTGCTTGCTGGTGGGGCTCGGGTCCCACCATGTGCACCAACATAGTTTACGAGTGGCTGAAAGCGCTGCAGCTCCCGCAGTACGCGGAGTCCTTCGTGGATAACGGCTACGATGATCTGGAGGTGTGCAAGCAGATCGGGGACCCGGACCTGGACGCCATCGGGGTGCTGGCGCCCGCGCACCGCCGCCGCATCCTGGAGGCCGTGCGCCGGCTGCGGGAGCAGGACGCCGCCGCCGCCGGCCTCTACTTCACGCTCGAGCCGCAGCCGCCGCCCGCGCCGCCCGCAGTCGCCGTCCCCACCGGCCGCCGGGGGGAGCCGTGTGGCGGCCCGGCCCCGGGCACCCGCTGGGACCCCCGCGGCCAGACGACGGCCCCCCGCAGCAGGGAGCTGGTGAGCTACCCCAGACTGAAGCTGAAGATCATGATCAGGGATAAACTCGTCCGCGACGGCATCCACCTGAGCAAGCCCCCGTACTCCCGCAAGGTAAGCAGGCGCCGCCCGGACCGCGCGGCGGGAGGAGACTCGGCCCCACCGCTGCAGCCCGTTCCCGGTGACGACGGGGAGGCGAGGATGCTTTGGGTATTTGGGATTCTCTACTCTGTTCTTTCTGTATTCGCTCTTTATTCCTTCTTTCCTGGTGTCACCAGCGGTTGGTTAAGACGAGATCCCACACCCAGATGTCAGTTCTAAACTAGGACCAAGTCTCCGCTTAGTGTCTGGTGCTCTCCTGTCAAGAACTGGATGAGCGGCCCTTCTCCAGGAGCAGCGGGCAACTCCTGATACCCCCGGTAGTAGTAATTAGGTCTGAAGGGTACCAGAATGTTCATGCCACATGGGTTCCCTCTCTTTTTGAGAAACTTCCGAAGGGAAATTGGCTAACTCTTTAAAGTGGGAAATCACGCCCTGTTGCTCTCAGTTCCATACAGTCGAATGCCTTCACTGCTGCACATTTGAAAAGTGAACCACTGACATGGCCATTCTGGGGGAAAAGTTAAATGTCAGTCCTTGGGATGAGTTTCTTCAACTTAAGTGCAGAGAGGGAATGGGTGCTAAAGACATTGGAGGTAATGGGGCCAGTGAGGGTGTACTGCTGAGGTCTTTGCTGGGTCACCAGTTTAGTTTACTATTAATCCAGATGAGACGAAGGAGGTACAACTGTGAGTTCTAGAAAGTCTGAGTGGACTCCTGTTTGGGAGGAGAGAGCACAGCCCAAGGAAGTGAGATTTTCAGTGGCCAGTGAGGAATCCCGGGGAAGGAATCACAGGGAAGGAGCTGGGAGGTTATGGAAAGGACCCTGTGAGGAAAGCTGAAATATGGACTTGGGCGCGGAATAATTAAGTAACAGAAAGTCTTGTTTTCGTAAAGTTCTGTCCCTCCAGTTGAGTGTTGAGTTTAGGTTTCTGGAGCCATCCAAGTAGAGGGTCCTGCCTTGAAAGGGAGAAGTAGGCAGCACAGGTAATCCCCAAGCCTGCTTGGAGTTACCCAGGAAAAGGAGCCCCTCAGCTGGAAATCATGTAGAGAAGCCCAGAGGGAAAAGGTGGTGAAGAAGCTGCAGCCGTGGGTGGGGGTGGGTGTGGGGACAGCTGTAAACAGCACCTGAACAGAGAAATATGGGTTATCTAAATGTTTTGTGCTCATTTTAGTCACTTGAGTTGCTTTATATTTTTAAGTAAAGATCATAATGTCTGGATTTAAGGAAGGGCAAGCGAAAACTTTCTTAAAAAGTGGATAGGTAGATGGGAGTGAAGGGTTTAATATTGTCCGTAGGTTATCTTGCAAGAAAGATAGGCAATTCAGATAACGAACGTGCTTGGGAGTATAAATTTGTTTTATAAAAATGAATAGGGCAGGTCTGAAGGACAGTTTGCCTCAAATTAAACACATATTTCGGTTACCCACGCTGTGTTACCGATGTGTGCCCCAGCCAGGGGAATAGAGAGGAAAGCACACTTTTTCCAGGCAGGTAGCATTAGCCCTGTTTGGTGTAGATAGACGGACTGGACCATTAGTATAAAGGCTCATTCCTGGAGACAGCAGGTCAGAGGAGTTCAGGCGGGTCAGACTCTTGAATTTACATCCCAGGAGGTGAATTGGGTGTGAGCTGAGAAGATGTGAGCACATGGGCACGCAGTGAGGGTGAAGGTCGAGGTCTGGCCAGAAAGGGCTACCGAGAATAAGGTGTGTCCCTAGGGCTTGCTTACCCCTCAGGAATGGAGCCGCGTCCACAGAGCTGCGTCCAGACAAGAGGGTAGAGGAGAGGGCGGGTTGGAGGGGAGAGTGGTGTGCAGGAAGTATCATATTTTGGTTCTGATACTTAAAAACACAGGCATAGATATCAAACTTTAGAGGCTGAGAAGGATTGTTGTGTGGACATGAAATGTGTGGGTGTAGGTTTTGGACCTAGATCAGTGTGGGATATGGTAGTGCGTTTGAGCAAGTGTGATTTACAGAAGACAATTTCACCTTGTGTCGTAATACTGTTTACTTTCCGTGTAAATGATTACTTCAGTCAACTTCTACATAAATCCTCTAACAATGAGAATAAAGATACACCCCATTCACTTCCCATACACATTTAATTCTGGTTCTTGAAGTGATGAAAAGAATAGAGTGGGGATAGAAGTAGTTTTGTACCTCCATTGATACTCCGCCTGTGAACCAGATAAACAGAGATGACAAATTAAATTGTAAAGAAAAAGTTCTATTCCTGTATTTTTATATATTTGTTACAAGAAAAACACACAATAGGAACTGAAATATAATGACTGTATCCCAAAGGGAGCATCTAAGTGTATAGTGCCAGATCGCGTTGGTGATTCTGAATTTGTTGCTTATGTGTGCATTGCTTCTAAAGTTTTGGGTTTTAAATTATTTGAGAATTGTCTTCTGATGCAGCTAGTTTCTGTGCAGATAGCGCTAGGACCTTTCTTTAAAATGTGATCCACATTATAATATCTCCAGGTTCCTTGGCTCTGTCGTGATCAGAATGCGTAGGTGTTCATTACGTGCATTTGGGATTCTGCCTTTTGGAGTGAGCCTCACGTCTCCTTTATAGTCCTTTGCATCATTGATCCCTGTGATTTTTTTTTTTTTTTTGTATATTGGTGAGAATATTAGATGGCTTGAAAGTGAGTTTATACCATGGATGGTCAAGGCAGGAATAGCAAATCTTTATAGAGGAAAATAAATTGAGGAGTTTTCCTAAGAATCATCAGAAAGGGCTTTAGGACTGTAGGATTTGCTTCAGGAACAGTTCATGTTTGGTGTGCTGTTCTGGGCTCACCTTACCAACTGCTGCCACGTTCCCCTCTTAGGTGAGTTGCAGTGTAAGTAAAAGGTAAGTTTCTCTTTGTTTTCCAAAGACAGTAATTAAAATCTAAGTTCAAAGTAAGTTTCCCTTTGTTTTTCCAAAGAAAGTAATTAAAATGTAAGTTCAAAGCAAGTCTGCAGCTTTGGAAAACCAGGAGCCTGGAAAGAACACCACTTGAAATCAAAGAGCATTGGATGAGTCTGTTTTCTGTTCTGTACTTCTGTGACTGCTGTGATTTCTGCCTTAGTGGGAGGGGGATATGTTTTCATAGGGTGGGACTTAGATATAGCTCTAGACATGAGATCTCAGTACTTCACCAGGCTTCCCTACAAGCCTCTAGGCTCCAGGTTGCTGTGCTTGGCAAGATGCAGAAGCCCTGCCCTCAAGGAACTTGGGGTGAAGCAGGGAAGACCTAAAGTGGAACGAACAGTCATACTAAAGCGTGATGATTGCTTCGGTGGGGAGTGCAGAATGCCATGGACAGGTGCATCCAACTTCATTTGTAGGGAGGTGGGTCGGGGCAGGCTTTCCAGAACTGGCGTTTGGTCAGAGAACCAAAGGTTGGAAGGGTTTGGCCTGAGGAAGAGCAGGGTCCTAAGGGGAACAATGTTCTAGACAGACAGTATGTGCAAAGGTCTGGAAGGCAGGAAGTTGAGCAGGAATTCAGTCTGGCTGGAGCACAGAATGCTTGGAGGAAAAGGCAAGAGATGGAGAGACAGGCAGTGGCCGGTTCTGGATGGCCTTGAACTCCTATTTAGGAATTTGGAGTGTATCTTGAAAGGGGGGCTACTGATGGATCCTGAGCAGAAACAGGGTGAACAATTAGGTTGTTGCAGAGTGTGGGGAGATTTGCTGGTGGCAGGGACTGGGTGGTGACTGTGGGGGAGGAGCAGTGGAGGTAACTGATGACTCTCTGGCCGCCAGGGGTGCGAGGGGAGAGCTCGGGGTGACCTGCAGATTTCTGGGTTAGGATTACAATGCTGTTCCCTGACGAGGTAGGAGACCCGAAAGAAGAGCACGTTTGGGGAGAAAGATGTTGCCTTCGGGTATAAACATACAGAGCGTTTTCACTCCCTTAAAAATCCTCCTGTGCTCCACCTATTCCAACTCCCCCCAAACCCCTGGCAACCACTGATCTTTCTCCTGTTTCGATAGTTTTGTCTTTTCTAGAACATCCCACAGTTGGAAGCATATAGTATGCGGTTCTTTCAGATTAACTTCTTTCCCTTGACGATGTGCATTTAAGGTTCCTGCATGTCTCCTTCTGGCTTGACGGCTCATTTCTCTGAGTGCTGAATAACATTCCATTGTCTGGATGTACCACTGACAGTCTTCTAATGAAGTTTGGCTGAGAAGACAGAACTAAGGCAACGGAGAAGAAAGGAGACTAAGTCAAGGGAAGGGTTTTGTGGGGTTATTTATTTATTTATTTTTTTTTTAAGGATGAGAGGAGATGAAACATGTCTGAGGGTTGGTGGTGGGGGGCCAGAGATAGGGAGTCGTCCCATAGGTCAAGGTCTTGGAGGAGGTGGGAGGGAATCGCGCCCAAAGCACTGAAAGGAGAAGGTGGTTTTGCTTTGAGGGGGAGAGGGGTGCCTCCTCCATAGTAGGAGAGAGCAGAGGATGGGGGGGTGACATTGAGGAGCCCTCGTTTGTCTGTTTGACCATCTGATACCAGTGAGGGGGGTAAAGTGGAGGGATTAGAGGTTTATGGAGAAGGTTGTGTTCATATACAAATAGTGGGTGCTATGATCTGGTGCTTATGGCTATGCCTAAACATAAACATCACACAGTAGTGTTTATAGGATATACGTAAGTGCACGTATAGAGACGGTGCCCTTGTCGTTCCTATGTATGGGGCGCAGGTGACAGGCTGTGCACGAGGTAGTATCACATCCTGTGCAGTTTGGCAGTGCTGGAAAATGCAGTGTGGTAGGTGGGAATGCTAGGGGGCTCTAAAGGTATTCTGTTTACTAGCGGACTTGGCAAAGCAGAAAGCAGCCCTTAGGGTGGATAGTGGATGGGGCAGGCTTCTCAACTTTTTCACTTGAAACATATCTCCTTGCCATACATTACCAGTTAACATTGTTTGAGCTAGTATAACCTTATTTAATAACGCTGTAAGAATGTTAGGCCTCATTCCCACCTCCGCGTGAATCTAATTATGTCACAA